ACTTAATTGTGGACGTGCAGTTCTTAATTCTACTATAGGTTGGTGTCACAATTTAATATGCCCCTGATGTTTTATATAAAGTGCATGAACATTTGTATTATATGTATACACAAATAAAAGCCCCCCTTCCGTCAGCATAAACAAAGTCAACAAATGCTAAACTGTTATGGTTGCAGCTGGTAGGCCTCAATAAAGGACCATTTATCAAACTACCTATCCAGCTGTAGGAACCTGATCTGCTGTTGTAAGTCAACCTTCCAGATTTACCTAAGAATGTGTCCATCTCAATTTATTTCAGTATCATGACATAAAATCAGTTTATCTAATATTCTTTGTCAATATTATTATCCTATACTACATTTGATTGGCATATATGGCAGCCAAGCATCTCCCAATTGTATGCACTGATAAACATTTGATTACTTGCATAGACACACAAGAACACACATAAAACACAAAAAATAGAAATAATAATTTCCATTCAAAAAATATTTTTTCTAACTCTTACCTTTAACTTAAAACCAAATCTATCTATCTTAACCCTTGACTATTTACCATTTGTACATTTTGCTTGCTGACACCAAAGTGTGACATTTTATTTTTACTTGTGCAATCAGCCAAAGGTATCAACCATTTTAGTAAATTGTGAAAACACACACATTTCAAGTAATTAATCTCATGGAAAACGAAAACAGATTTTTATTTAAAAAATCTTATTTTTTTCTAACAATTATCCTACTAAAAAGTATTTATTGCTTGATTGAGCACCTTTGTCGAATTAACTTTTTCAATACTGTCGACATACCATAAAGCACTGGTGGCCAAAATGACAAATTATATTGACTTGTATTAAGTATTAAATCCACTAATATTCTGAAAACATTACATACGTGCCGCAAAATCATCATCTTGTATTAAACTGATTCCCCATTCTAGCAAATACGAACTCATAGGTGACCTAATTTATGAATAAGTACTGATTTCTGATTGTATTGGCCACGTGTTAAAAATGTGCACGTTCATGACAGTACTTTGGTTTTGCTGTGAACAAATGTTTCAGTATCGCTTGACATGATTTACTGATTTACTGAGTTTTCTGGTAACTGTTTGAAACATGTGATTAGTATCCACATTGAGTGTAGAAAATATTAAAAATGAAATGGACCGCTGCTCTGCTCGTTAGGTGATAATAGAGACAAACTAGACCCAAGTCAAATTAAAAGTATCATAGCAAATTGAGAAAATCTTAACCCTAACCAAAGTAATTATTAGACTAACAAGTAAATACAAGGACGAACTCTCCATGTTTTACCATCCTAGAGATGTAAGGGCCGCTACATCTGTATGTGGGTGGGGCCACAGCCGCTACATCTGTATGTGGGCGGGGAAATGTGACGTCAATGTAAATGATTAGGTGACGTGCCCCAGCCCCGCCCACATACAGATGTAAGGGCCATAGCCTCTACATCTGTATGTGGGCGGGGCCTGTTCCGTGACGTCAATGGAAATGGTTAGGTGACGTGCCCCTGCCCCGCCTCATGTGGGTCACGGGAGGGGGAGGGAGACAGGCTGAGCTGATCCCACGTGTGACGCTCGCATTCCCGGCTCACTGATATTCTGTTTAACGGGCTCGGGTGTAACGGGCTCCGGTGTAGCGCTGCTGTGTCTGTCTGTGTGTGTCCGTTAGTTACTGGCTATAGTCGGGTTAGCTATGGAGGGAGACGGGAGCCAAGCCACCTCTGGAGGAAGCCCTCATGACTCGCAACACGACCCGGGGTAAGACCGTCAACTGCACGGACACTTTTAGACGTTGGATATTGTGTCAATATTGCAGGACTTATGAAAGCCGTGACATTGGTGTTTCCTTCCGGGATCCCTAAAGTGCAGTACACCGCTGTTTGCTTTTATTATCAGACATTATTATTATTATCTGGCTCGCTGGGCTCTTCTGCTGCTGGTCTCGGGCTGCTTTTTGTCGCTATTAGTAGTAGTTAGCTAGTGCTAGCCAAGTAGTAGTTAGCTACACGTCAAAATGGCCGATCTGACATCTGGACTCACTTCTGCCTTGTTTTCCCTTTACAGTAAAATGTTTATCGGTGGCCTCAGCTGGCAAACTGCACCAGGTGAGAGAATAATTAGTGGACAGCAGTGTGGGGTTGTGTTCGGTGTGTGTGTGTGTGTGTGTGTGCGCGCGTGTGCGCGTGAGTATGTGTGTGTGTGTGTGCGTGTGAGTGAGTGAGTGTATGTGAGTGTGTGTGCGCGTGTGTGTGCGCGTGCGCCCGTGTGTGTCCGTGCGCGCAAGGTTATTTTGATTTCCGTTCGTTCCAAGTCCTCTATTCGACCCCTATGAGTAGACAAGCATTTTAAACTCCTATATTTGCTATTCCGTCCTTTTGACAGACTAATATACATGACTGTTAACTGTGTGTTCTCCCATTACAGACAGCCTTAGAGACTATTTTAGTAAATTCGGGGAGATCCGAGAATGTATGGTGATGAGAGACCCAACGACAAAACGCTCCAGGTAATCGGATAGCATATGTTACCTCTCTGTTTTACTTGTCCACGGAAGTGCTTTTATCGTGTCCCTATAATAACGCATAATCAGTTATCAAGCGGCCATGTATTTGTGTCCCGGGTTGCTCTTTTACACGCTATTGAATCAGCATGTATTCACATGTAATGAGATTTGACATTGACCAGGCACCTGGGAGACAATAGGGAAAGATCCATGAATAGACTGAAAATACGGCAAATATTCAAGATATGCTATTCATTCGCACTATTCTTTGATTAACATGACATGTCATTAACACTTAAAAAAATATTTAGTAATGCTACTAACCATTTTGATTTCAAGTAGCCCACACAAATGTGTGTTCATATTTGTTACATTGAATGTCTTGAGTATGTATTTGTTAGGCTATATTAGTTTAAATATAATGCTTGTGGATGTATTTAATAGTGAGTAATACAGGCTGTTTGACCACTCTCCTCCCTAATGATAACAGTGCTTCTTGTTGTTTCCTCAGGGGCTTTGGCTTCGTTACTTACGCAGATGCTGCCAGTGTAGATAAAGTCTTAGCTCAGCCACATCACGAATTAGACTCAAAAACGGTATGTCTCTTTTTCTCTCTTTTTAGTGCTAATGATTTTTTTGTGACTCCTGTCTGGGCTCTTGTATTATATTTTGCATTGCGTCTTTTACATGGTTGTTACGTGCTATTGTTACTCACCCCAGCAAGTAGTCTTGCTTATTATGCGCTCTGAGCACCCCCCCACACACGCCACTGTCTTTGAAATAACAGGACCTTCTGCTAACCCTGACTTTACCTTTGGAGTATTGAGTGCTATATTATGTAAAGTCATTTGTGCTCCAATCCCACCTGCAAGCCCATTGCTCTAGGAACATGTGACTAATGTAATATGGGGAACATGTTTGTTGAACCTGCATATTACATAATAGGACTGCCAATGATTCCTGTGAAGATAAATTCCCAACTGTCTTTCTTTATACATTTTCGTCTGCTTTTTTATGTACATGTTTTGCTTTGTTTTTCATGGACTATTTATTATTGCTAAATTTGCATTTATTACTACTGTTCACATAAATATGCAGTTTAATTATAAATAAATAATTTCAAATGCATCCCATTTTGAGTTAATTATTTTTTTCATCCTGTCAATTGCTCTTGTTGTCATTTTTAGTTGACAAGAGATCAGCACAAAACATACTGCAATGGAATTATTGTTGTATTATTTAAGCCATTTTAAATGTATTGACAAATTAATTAAAACTTACAGTGGAATATAAAGTTTGTTTTATTTAATGGTTAGAGGTACACTGAATGCTGTAGTGTTTTGGGTAGGTAATTCTTATTTCTTTCTCATTTTACTTCCCAGTCAGGTGGCTCGTTTTCTGATCTTCTGCTAACGTGGTTTTCATTGTAATGTCATTTTAATGTTGTATGCATGTACAGTAGTTAAATAGGTACCTTGTAATCATTTCCTCATGCTGGTGTATACTGCCTGGTGACTGGGTAGTGCTGGAGAGTTTTAGGAGGCATGGCTCCAAATGAATGTGGGAGAGGGTGGGGCCTCACTAGCTTCTGTAGTCATGAGGTGATAAACCATGACTTTAAACTAAACATTTGAGTTTAAACCAAACTGTGGGCGCAGACACATGATCTCATCTTCAATATAGAACAAAACATTTTTTGTTGTTGTCTTAAATGTTGGTTATGTTTGCACCATATTGGCTGTGGAATCTAGTATAAACCAAACTGGAGTAAGTCCGCAGATTCCAACAGTTGGCAATCAAAATAAATCACAATATGTAGATCTCTTTGTCTGGACGTATCATATTTGTGTTAACTGTTTCTTAGATTCATACTTTCAGATTTGCCTAACTCAATTCTTACTTTATACCACTGATCCAACTGGCTCTTTGAAGTCCACAATGTATGGGGCATATTCTAAGAGTTGCTACCTGCTGATGGATTCAGAGATCAGAGGAACTGTATCAGTATCTTCAGAATTGTCCACCATACTTTTACATCTCTCATCCTGAGATGCTGTGAGACCAGATGTTTGGACGGAGTAGAGTCAGCTGGTGAACTAGATTAGGTAATGTTCATTATAATGTGTTTCACCTGTGTTTGCTGTTGTAATTTAATCCACTGACATTTTATGTACGATATGTATGCGAACAAACACACTGTGTTCTTGTTAATGTAACATAATTTGCACTGATTGGCCAAAACATTATGACCACCTAATATGCTGTTGATCCTTCGCAAGCTGCTAAAACTGCTTTAACCTGCCGTGGCTTGGACTCTACAAGACATAAGCAGCAGATCCCTAAGGTCTGTAAATTGAGATAGAGTTCCCGTTATTCAGACTTGTTGGTCCAGCACATCCCACAGAATAAAAAACAAAATTGTTAACCTTTACCAGATAGGCCGATTGAAAACAAATTCTTATTTGCAACGGCGACCTGGCCAAGATGCAGGGGATTGAACCCAGGACATCATACACACAAAGCATGTACTCTCCCAATGAGCTACACCAACTGATCTGATGATTTGGAGGACGGGTTTACACCTTGAATTGTTTATCATGTTCTCAATCCATTCCTGAACAATGTGCACAGTTTGGCTGGGTGTTAATCTTGCTGAAAGAGGCCTCTACCATTAAGGAATAACATTGCCATGAAGGGGGTGTACCTGGTCTGTGATATTTAGGTGATGGCACTGGTCAAATGGCCATCCTAATGAATGCCTAGGGTTTCTGTAGCAGGGCATTGCCCGGAGTATCACACTCCCTCCACGACTCACCTCCCTGCTGTGCCTCCTGGTGCCATCACGTCCCCAGGTAAATGGTGCACACATACACAGCTGTCCATGTGCTGTAACAGAGAAGACACGACCTTCCCCTGCAACTAGTTCCAGTTCCTACGCTCGAGTGCCCGTTATTGGCGATGGACCGAGTCATGGGCACTCGGACCGCTCTGCGGTTACGCAGCCTCATACACAGCAGGGTGCGATGCTCTGTGTTGTGACACATTACTTTCACATCTTCTGTGCCACAGTAGACCTTCTGTTGGTTTGGATCAGATGGGATAGCCTTTGTTGCCCTCACACATTGATGTGACGTGGGCCCCCAACACCCTGTTGCTGGTTTGTCCCTCTTTGGACCACTGTCAGTAGGACCTCACCACTGCTGAACGGTGAGACCCCACAAGCCGTGCCGCTCGAGAGGCTCTGACCCTGTGGTCTGGCAATCACAGATTGGCCCATGAGTCTCTCAGGTCTATACTCCTGTCAGATTCTCCTGCATTCAACACAGCTTCCATTTAATCTACCCAGTTCAAGTGCCCTTGTTATGAGATGATCAAGGTTATTCGCGTCACTTGTGAGTGGTCATAATGTTTTGACTCATTCGTTTATATCTCTTGTGACTTTATACAAAACTCTGAAATTGTAAAAAAAGGCACTATTGTGATTGTTTCTTACTCACCTGAGGCTGATGGGGATTGTTCTTTAGCAGTGGTTGAGGAGTGACAAGCGGACACTGTTCTCCGTAGGGACTCATAATAACTGCTCTCTCATGGCCAGAAGCTTGTGAATTATGAAGCTAATGGCCGATGATGTTGAGGTGTAATCCAAATCTGCAACTTTCCACTAGTCAGTTTAACAAAACTATTTACTGATATTATTTTTAATGCACTTCGTTGTTTAAAAGAAATGTGTGGCTTGGTGAATATATAATATTAGAGGGATTATGACCTTGCGAATGTATTAGTTCTTGTCTGGCAAGGCACTATTGGAATGGGTGGCATGCTGGCCTTGGTTTAACAGGTTATGTTCCCTTGACAGTACATATTATTAGAGAGCCCAGCAAATGCACAGCAACACAAACACACCTAACTGTCAATTTCTTAGCTTTTTACTATTTCTCCTTTCCTTGAAAGAGCATTTACATATTGTTATTAGAAAACAAGTCATGACATTATCCATGTCTTATGGAAGCTAGCGTGGTGTTGGGGGTGTTATTGCGTGGTATACTGGAATTGAGGCAACGATATGCTGTCTACTCCCCTCTGTGTGCCTTGGGAGGTGTTCCACAGTGAGGTGTAGTGTGAAATAGAGGAATTCTTACGCCACCTTATCACTGCCAGGTGAGGCTGCGTTTGGAAATTCAACCGAGACATCGCCGTAGACACGGTTTGTTTAGTCTACATGTGGAAAGCAGTTTTTTTATTAATTAAGATGCAGATTGTACTCTAATGTTAAATAGATATTACATTACCCGCTTGCATTCACTTTTACTTTTCAGTGATTCTGCAATGCTTTTGCTAACTAAACATCACTTAGCTACATGTTGATACTGTGATCTTGTTTCTAGTATTTGTATGGTATTTCGTTGTATGGTTTGGGAATTATTTAAATTGTCTACTTCCTTGACAAACATAGAAATTACTTAGACATGTAATGTAAAGTGTGTTTGAATAATACTGTGTGACTGTGGACAATGGAATTTCTGATGATGTCATTTGTTAAAGGTATCTCCTGTCGACTAAACCCTTGTCTGGTTAAAACACACCCACACTGCTAATACATTCAGTTTGGTCAATTCAGACAGACACTTTTCTGCAAGTGGCTATTTTTATCCATGTTACAATAACAACACTCCCTTACATTTGTTCTTGGTTTTATATATATATATATATATATATGGTCTAAAACCTACTTTTTACACAATATTCCACTAATGGTCTTTCCCTGTGAAAGGAGAAATTCTTTGTTCACCTAAAGTGTAAATGTTGGTACTGTATTCAACCACTGTAACATGGCAAATGTGTTTTGAATGTCCTGGCTGTTTCATTTAATAGGACTCTTCCACATGATTTTACTAAGTGTTGTAGAAGGGGAACATTTATGGCAATTTTAATCTGACATTATAGACATCTAATTTTTTTCTATTAATGAAAGTAGACTATTATATAAGGTCTTCTACCAGCAGGCAGCAAATTACGTTTATAAACTTGACATTGACGTACAGGTTTTTGGCATTTTTTACATGGTACAAATGTTCTGTTCCAGACATGACTCATTTGCAGTGAACTGATACAACAGTGAATAAAACAAAGCACTCTTTGTTTTGCGTCCTGCTGTATTCAAGTTTGATGCCAGATCTGCCAAATCACATCGGCTGCCATAATAACCTTTTTGGATGGATTCAGGAAATAACTAGATGTTCACCAAAAATGCATAAGCATGCAGGGAATCGGCCTTGTATGACCTATGTATTGGAAATCCATAATATGAGCTAAAGGAGTAGATCACTTGGGTCAGCGTTATTTGATTTTGAATTAAAAGGATGTTTTCCTGGAGGGAAACATTAGGTGGCTTTGAATAGCATTAGTTTAAAGAACCATCATTCAATACATTTTTAATAAAATTTTGGGATTGAATTATTTTCCAATTACAGCATTATGCCATCTGTAGACTGTGCCAAAAATAGAAAGTTAGTATTGTGGCATTTTATTGCTTTTATTTATTTTACATTAATTAATGTTGTGTTTCAAAGGCAACATGTGCATTTTGTGTTAGCGTTCTGCATTTACATGGTCAGCATTGGGTCATTCATCTATCATTGTTTTAGGAAATTGCTTGAATGACAGATGTTGCCTTTTCCAAAAATGAATTGAGTGTTAATTTCACTTTAACCAATTACTCACTGGTGATTGGTTAATTTATGTCAGTGATGGGCTAAAGGAGTTTGACCAGTTCTGAAACAGGTCACTTCCTGATACCTCAAGGTTGGATTTGAATATCCCTGGAGTCTCTGCTGTCAATTCTGACAGTAATCCTAATATTGTCTGTGTCGTGCATGTCAGTATGTAGCCCCGTTGTGCAATCCGTGAGATAAAACCACACATGAAAAATGGAAAAAAGGTGATTATTGTTTGACAGATATGCTGATTCAAATCCAATGACACCTCCCCTCTTCTTCTTTTTGAATATTCAACAGATTGATCCTAAAGTGGCCTTCCCTAGACGTGCCCAACCCAAGGTAAGAATACCGGCTTAACCATCCTGGTGGCTTGTTTGTTGTGTTATTCAACAGTGTGCTACGCTGACCCGAGGAAAAGAGAGCCTTTGTGAAGATCCGGTTTTGAAGCAGCCGCTTGGTGTGCACCGTGTTTAAGTTAGAGTTTGTAATAAGTAAACGACTCACTGTGTGATTTCCTGACTTGTTTAGACCAACATGAGCTGGTCTAGAAACCAAAAGTAGTTTTCTGTTGCATTTGACTCACTAATAGAGTGGCATTGTAGTTGTTTCTGAGATTGGGGAGTTTTCCCTTTTAGTGACACAGAGAGAGGCATTGTTCCTGTGTTTTTGCCGTGTAGTTTAGGTTTCAAACAGCCCATTGACGGAGGTAAGGCTTTCAAAAGCCGCGGCACAATGGTCTCTTACCAGCGGGGATCATGGCATATAGAAACAGCTAGGGGATGTGTTTGTTCCTTCCTCCTGGTGTCTCTTCTCTCTTCTTTTAGATTTTTTTTAAATGCCCATGTTCATGTGTAGGTTCAAATGATCGCGATACTGAGAGAAATCTGCTCTGAAACCAAGTCAATGTGCAATGTGACTGTATTGACAATAGAGTACGCTGCCTAAATGTTACTGTATTTGACAATAGAGTACGCTGCCTAAATGTTACTGTATTTGACAATGGAGTACCCTGCCTAAATGTTACTGTATTTGACAATAGAGTACGCTGCCTAAATGCTTTCTACTCTGTGGGCTGTTTCATGTGGAATAATGCCCCTGATATCATTTATACACTGATTTAATAAACATGAATTTGACTCAAGGACATTTAATAACGGGCATCCCCTGACAAGCGTAGGTAGACGATACAATGTGGTTTGTTTCAGAAGAGCAATGACACTAAAGGGTTTTGAAGGTGAAATGATGCCGTGTTGTCTTGGAGCCCTTAAGGGCAGGCTCATTAGCACAGGAACCGTTTGGATTTGTTTTCCACATAACTGAGGAGAGAATATGTCTGTCAGGGGGTGCCACAGCTATAGAATTAAAGACAATTAAAGCGGCGTTGCAGTGGGTTTGTTGCATGTCAAATATATGATGGATGAGGGTCTTCTATACAGCACTGTGCTAGACATCAGGTCAGCGCTGTCGGTTTGGGTACATTTACTCTGTTGGTCAGTAACCCGCGTTGGATTTCATTTTCAGCGTGTGTGTGTGTGTGTCTGTGCATGTGTCTGTGCGTGTGCGTGTGTGTGTGTGTGTGTGCGCGCACGTAAGGCTGGTTATTAAGGGACTCCTCTGGCTAGCTGGTAAAACTGAGAGCACTGTGGTTTCCCGGAGCTTTAATACAGGTATGCCTTCAAGGTGCCGAGGTCTGCAGCACACATGTCCAGCTAATTGAAGAACTCTCCTCCCTCTGTCCAGATTGGAAGATCACTGGAGGAGAAATGACACGCTCTGTCCATTCACTTCACATTGCAGAGAGGACAGGCAGACACACCGGCAGGGCAGACAGATG